GTCACTTTTACTGCTTCTACAGACACTGCTGTGGATGCTATTATAGATGTGCTAAAATACAGCCAAAAAGACATGGATGCAATGGTATGGTGGCCCTTCCAAAGCAGAACTTGGCATAGCTTGGAAATTCCTTTTGTTTAGATTATCTGGGATAAGCCTCTACTTCGTAGGCCTTCTCATCATACGTGGTGTAGGCGTCTCGCTCTGAAAAGCTGTGCACTTGATGGGAGCTGTAGGAATAAAACTCCTGAGAGCTAATACTTAAGGAAATAGGTTAAACTTCATTTCTAGGTGGGTTCTGCCTTAGAGCTGGTCAGCAAGTGTTATCAGATGTGATCAGGTCAGGCTTAACAGCAGAGATCTGAATACTTTCTGTTCAGTGCTGTGATCAGGTCTTTTTATGTGGGACCCAAAGGCGCAACAGTTATGTCCAGCTAATAAAAGGAAGGTGAGATCTGGACCTCACTCAGGAGGAGAAAGATATTAATGGAGGAGAGAAATAAGTAGCTGATAGGATTTTAAGCATATTCTGGAACTAGATGTGAGAAGATTTGTGTGCCCACTCACTTAAAAACTTGAGTACTTGATTCATTATGGCTTCTGGGTTACATAGCTTCCCAAAACTAAATAATGTTAAGAGGAGTTTAGAGGGTAAATTAGAAATTAGAGGGGTTTGCATTTAGCAAAGAGTGTTTATGCTGCTTAATATTTTTACTGTGAGCTCTGCTTTAATTCAGCTGATGTGAAATGGGTATGATTATTTGTAAATAATTTGAGGCATCTTTTATTCCTCACCCTACCATGTTTCCAAATTTGGTGTTAAACATAAACATAAATTACTCCAAACAGCAACTTGATCTTGAATAGGCTTCGGTTATTTTTTTTTTTTCCTCTCAAGTGTTACGATTAGCAGGTTTGTGTAGAGCTTTTTTTTTTTTTGAGAGAATGTTCCTTGGCTAGTTGTGTTCTCTCTGAAATTTTAACGGTCTGCATATACAATGAGTAAGAGTAGCCAAGAGGTTGATCATGCCTTTTGAAGACATATTAGGTATGAAGACATGGTGCTTACCTTGTATGCAAAATCTGTGTATCAATCTAAATCTTACTTGAGTGAAGTTTGTAATGAAACAATTTTGATTCTGTTAAGCAATTGGAACTTATTTCTCTCCATGTTGGGTTATAAGTATACCTAAGCTGCCCTTCAGACTGTTTTTAGTATCAAATATTTTATCTCTTCCTATGCAAGAAATAAGGGTTTACTTTTTCACCCTCACAGGTTCAAGAGAAAGAGATGGAGACTCAGGAATGGAAAAACAAGTATAATAAGCTGTATATGGAATACCAGGAAATGGGGTATGAACCTGTCCTGACCCTTATATTTACTTATTTACTCCAGATGCTTTTTCTAACATATACTCAACATTTTTTTTTCATGGTTTTTAGAAAAATAGTTGCTGAGTTTGAACAGACAATAACACAAGTTATGGGTAAGTTCCTTATTTACACTTTGAATGCCTTGGGGGGCTGGGGCCTGCTCAACCTAAGGTGACTAAGTGAGGTTAGTACTCTTTCACCTCTGATGAATTAATATTTCAAGTGCTTCCAGGGTGAGTGTAAGATTTCAGACAAGGTAGTTAGACTAACAATTTTATGCATATTCATACAGACATGATATCACTTGGTAGGTAGCAATGAGTTTCTGAATCAGACATGAACACATCTAACTTTTTCTTATTCTCCAGTAGAATGTGAGTCGTTGGTTCATTAAAACTGACAGATGTGGTTTGTCAGCACTTTGTGTTTAACTGTTTATTATCTGACATCATTTAAGTGGCAAGACATCACTAGGAGTTCTTGCTGGACAGACCTGACCTTTGCTGCAGTCAAGTCTGTGGCTTCAAAACTAGGAAAGACATACAGTGAAACTCCTGTTGTATAGGTACATTTTCTTAGTTCAAAGCTGAATAGGCACATCTGTGCCTTGCTTAAATTTAGTTCTTTAAAGAGACTGAATGTGATGCCAGCTTTGTTGTGCTGCTTTAAGCCTGTGGGAAACATAGCTCAGGTCTGATAACACAAACTTGTCCTGAAAGTGTGCTATGCTAGTTTGACTTGTTAACCCAGTCTTCCTCAGATCTTCGAGCTATTGTGTGTGTTTAATGAAAATAAATATTTTTGAATTCTTTGCTTTTATCACAACGTTTGAGGCTCCTGTTATGGTAAACTTGGGTGGAGTATATTTTGACTACATTGCAGGAGCAGCAGTGCTCTAGGCCAGCACCTTGTCATCGGTGTTTAATGGCCTTAATTTCAGTGTAAGGTGGCCTGTAGCAAATAGACAAGGACTGCTTTCTTAAAAGCACATACATGGTGTCTGTCCACATGAGAGGCTGTGTTGTCAAACACTTTTGTTCTTAAGAGCAAGAATTGAAGGCATGGGGGCTCCTATCTGTCTATTCTATGCAACTAATTTTATGCTATTTCAATAACTGTGATGGGTTAACTCTGCTTTCTCTAGAGGATTCTCAGAAGCAGAAGGAAATCTCAAGGAAAGAAATGCAGAAGCTGATGGAGGAGAAGCAGCAAGCTTTATCAGATCTCAACTCCATGGAAAAGTCTTTCTCTGACCTCTTCAAAAGACTTGAAAAGCAGAAAGAGGCATTAGAGGGTTACCACAGAGTAAGGATGCTATAATGCAAATAATATCCTTCCAAGATAAATGAGATTTAGTGTAGAGGAAATGGTGAAATTTCAAGAGCATCCATTAATTAGCTAGTAAAGGCACTACCTGGAAAACCAGGTGCTAAGTTGTTACTTTAAATATGATAAAAAATCACTAGCTTGTTGTATTTAGTGACTGACTTAAAGTATAATAACATCTGTTAGAAGTCAAAGTTTCTTCAAACAGAAGTGAGGTGTTTCTTGCTGCACAGGGATCGTTTTTGTTTATTGTAGAGATGCTCTCATGTAGCAACTGC